TGCCGATGGAATGGATGCCTTGATGAGATTCCCGCATTCTGCTGTGTTTTCTAAGTCTGTCTSTGTGTGTGYGTGCTTGTGACCTGCATGCCTGTCTGAGTGCTWGTTKGTATGAGTGTGTGTGGGACCCGCAAGGGTACTTGCTTGTTTGGTAGGCCCGTAGGGCCGGTACTTACCTGTGGCCGTGGCATTGAGGGTTGTAGCAGGGAAAACACTCAAGTGGCGAAGCTAGCGGCCCTGAGGCACTTGGGGTAGCGGAAAAACACTCAAGTAGGCCGGTAGGCCGATACTGCACCCCACTGCAGTTGACGTGAGGGGTACTGGAGGCCGAGCAGAAAAAGACAAAGGTGGCATTTTTAGAGTCCAGTAGCGGTAGGGTAGGTCTAGGCCGATACCAGTCCAACTAGTCTGAGTCTAGAGCCTGTACGGGTAATATCAGGGTCTGCAATGATGTTTCCCTCCGAAACGGAGGAGGTACCGGTTGCTTGGAGAGGCCGAGCGGCCTGGAAGTCACCGCCCAAGAGGCAAGCAGGCCGCTATATCTGGAGGCGGAGGCAAGAGCTCCGCCTCATTCTTCAGTGTGCGAGCTGGGCGTCACGCTGCTGGAACGCTAGGTGGAGCGCTGGGCACTACAGCGCTGCTGGGAGGAAGAAGCCAGGAGCTTCCGCCTTGGCTATGGTGGAGCTCAATCGGTCGGAGGAGGAGGGAGAAGGGGACCAAGGAGGAGAGTGGTAGGGTACTTACCTAGCTATGGTAGACACCATCTTCATCTCCTTGCTAGGCGCTGCATCAGGAAGGCCCCAGTGGGGGTAGTGCTGCATCAAGGAAGCTCGGACAGAGTCAGGCATGGCGGTTGAGTGGGCAGCKGCATAGMTGCTGGGTGATGACCTTGGAGTAGGGCAGCGGTGTAGCTGCTTTAGGTYGTCTCTTGTACAGGAGGCTGAAGCCTCCRTAGTCCGCCATAGCCTCGGCCTGTATGTGGAGGAAGAAGAAGGGCTGCCATGGCTATGGTGGACCTCATCTTGTGCCTGCAGTAGAAGTGGGATTCGGACATTGATTCTGGTTCAGCTGTTCAACATTATTATTGTTTATTTATTGTTTGAATAAGAGAGGAGGAGATAAAGAGGAGGAGGTTGTTGAGCGAAGAAGAAGAGCTTTGTCTTTGGTACATCATCTCTTTCTTCTTCTTAATTCTTCTTCTTCTTCTTTCCCTCTCTTTCCTCTCAAGTTCTTTCATTTCTTTTGCAATTGGACGGCATTGGGCTCAAGTTCATTCATTTCATTTCGCAATTGGACAACATTGTACTTTCTGATGATTGTGGACTTCGAAATTGGCCAGGATCGTAACATTGGTATCGGAGCGGATTCTACTTGTTGGCGAGAGTTGACTTTGCTGCCATAACCCTCACCCTAATGGTAAGGGCTACCACTTAGGGTTGGGCTGGAAGTTAGGGTTAAGTGGGGCAGCGTGGTGAAGGGAAGTTGCCCCCATCTGGCAGGGCCGTGTAGGGTCGACACTAGACCCGGCCAGGTTGCTTGAGTGCATGTTTGTGGTGGCGAGACACAAGGTGGGACTTCGTGATGCAATTTGAGAGAGGCGACAGTGATGGGCACCTATAACTTGAATCTGGACTTCAGGGAAGACGAGGAGTGACTTTAGGGCTCCCCTCRAGTAGGCGAGCTTGAGGGTGGCAGCCATATCTGCACCTACGGACTGCAAGTTGCTGCTTTGATCTTCAACATTGACGGGGGATCCGGCTGTGTACTTTGGGGTAGATGTTGACCCTCCTAGATGATAGGACACTAGTGTAGAGGATGCTAATTGGGTCAGGAGGACTATGTGAGAGGGGGGTGAGTTCTTTCATCTCAAGAGCCCGGCCACTCAGGTAAGTGTCGTGCCACCAGGGTGCCCATGTGTGTGTGCATGGAGTTGACTGCCTGTTGGGGTTCTCTGGGTTCTTCTTCCATCCTCCATAGTCTTGATTGTGTGTGAGGTGTGTGAACTGCCTACTCACCTGATGAGTGAATGAATGGAGTATCTAGTTTGCTATGCGATATCTCTCTACAGTGCTTTGTTTATTTCATTCTGAACGGCGGTAGTCTAAGGTTCTTTCTGGGGCAAAATTTCGTTTTTTCAATTTAGTAGGGACAGAGTAGGTCTCTGTGGAACTCTTGTTGGTTGGGACCCGGTTCTGACTCCACTGGGACCATTTGGGACTCAGTGGGACCGGGCCCAAACAAGAAGGGCCCCTCAGGCCAAATCTGTTGACATCGGTTACCTTGCTTTATCTGATTGGGATACGGACTTTATGCTTTCGGACGAGGACACTCGTTGCGGAGGGGATCTCCGCTGGGACGTTTTATCAGACTTTACCACGCAATCCGCCGCCTGATTCGCACCTTATACACCACTCAATTCTCTCTTGCATTTCGTTGTACATCTTGAATCTGATTTGCTGTGTTTTCACGGAGCTGAGGCTGGCTAGGCTTGGGAGGACCCCATACGTAGGCAGTCCAGACTGTGTGGCTGGATCGGATCTCTCTAATCTTTTCTTTTTTGTTGTTTTGACTGCTCTCCGGTCCAAATGAATTGTCGCTCCGGCTAGGAGTTCTACCTTCTCTTCTGAATGATTTCAAGCTGTTTCTTTCATTGGGTTCTTTAATGCCTGCGTCTACACGGTCACAAGCGAGAGAGAGAGAGAGAGAAGAGAGAAGTTATTGAGTGTTGCTTTTGAGGGAGTGAGGAGAGGGAAGAGGAGCGTTCGTCACAAAGCTGAGAGGAAGTACGGACCCCTCTTGAGAGTCTTACTGACACCCTCATCCTCCATCATGGCATCTGCAGCAGATTGGAAGCTGCAAATGGACGCTGCCCCTGAGGCAGAAAAACCGCAGTATCAGTTCTTCTACGAGAAAGCCTTGAAGAGGGAGGAGGAAGAGAAAGAGAGAGAGAGAAGGGATAAGGTGCAGGCTCGCGAGGCCGTCCTTAGCACCGTGTCCGCTCTGACTGATGTGGAGGTAGAAGAGAAAACAGTTCCCCTCCTCAGAGCCTTAGCAGGGGTCCGTGTTGCTGAGGACCATACTGGCCAGCTCGCACAGGTGTTTAAGCAGCTCAAGGAGTTGCGCGAAGACATGGCCAAGATGGCGTAGGAGCACCGCGAACAGCTGCAACAGTTTGCTAGTTCGCAGCAGGCTCAAATCGTCTCTTCACTCACCTATCCTGCCTCCAATGCTGCTTGTCAGTCCATTTTTGCCCCTCTGACTACGTCTACTTTTTCTCCTTCTCCTTCTTCTCCTTCTACTTCTTCTTCTTCTTTGAGTGGGTTAACAGCCAAAGCGGATCTGCAGCAAGTCCAGACCCCGCTGCTGCTGCTGTTGCTGCTACTGCTGCAGCGACAAGTGGTGGTACAGGGACTTCTGGAACTGTTGCAGCCCCGGGCCCGGACCCAGCAACGGTTGGGCCAGGCGGCAGCTTTGCTTACATCGACAGGAAGGCGGCGCAGATTCCGTCCAAGTATGACGGAAAGGACGACGTCGAGGCTTGGATCAGCTCCATGCGGTCCTACTTTGATGTATTGGGGACACCCCTGTCCACTCAGTCGTCTATCCTGGGGACCAATGTGGAGCCCGTCGTGCGGGGTTCCTAGAAACCCAGGCTGTCCAATCAGGCGATAAGAGAATAGACCTGAACAAGTGGCTGAAGACTACGCCTACTACCACACTTGAGGATCTCTTGATCAAACAATATGCTGATCCACATGCTGCCGTTAAAGCAAGAATTAAGCTTGACAAGCTCAAGCACAGCAAGTGGGCCGGCACCATGCAGTCTGCAGCAGTACGTAAGTAAACTCTTTGCTACTCCGGATCTGGAGATGACTGCGCAGTCTTGCTTGGATGTGATAAAAGGTACGGTCCCCTCTACTTTGAAAGATCGCCTAGGGATCGGGCTCAGCGGATATACAGATTGACTTACCCTCATGCGGGACTTAGTCAAGCTGGAGGCACAAGACCTCCCGGGTGGATCAAGTGGCAAAAAGGCCACTGGCCGCAAACGGTTTCCAGGCAGCAACCGTTTTGCAGCACATGATCTGCTTGAGGCTGACGAGGAGACCCTCGTAGAAGAATCTTCTCTTTATGACGATCAAGAGCAAGACTGCAGGGCATCTTGCTCTTTGTCAGCCCATGAGTCTGAGTATGTGAATGACGATGAATCCATGAATGCCTTTAAGAAGACTGCCTTTAAGAGTAAGGGACCGAGGACCACGATGAAGAATAACACTAACACTATCCTTCTTCCCAAGGGAGCAAAGATTCCACCAAGAGCGGAAGATCCTGCCACAAAACCATGGGTAGATCTCCGGATTAGTGAAAGTGAGTGGAAGAACAGGGTGAAGAGAGGAGTTTGCCTGCATTGCACCAAACCGGGACATTCAGTCCAACATTGTTTCAGATTGCAGCAGGGAAACCAGCAACGGGGGTAGAGMTATCATCAGCACACTCTACTGATGGAGAGGCTAAACATGTAAGTGCAGATTCTTCTTTGGATTCTGATCCCACTCACCAGACCTCTCCTGAAACCCCATCTGATGCTGATTCCAAGGCTGAGAAGATCCATATCCTTTACAAGGAGCCTTGGGTAGAGTCGGAAGAAATTGACTTTCATTCTCTGTTGAYGCGCTGGGCTCACATGAAGCAAGAACGCGCGCAAGGGAGAACGAAGTTGATCTTCTTCAAACTCTACATTAATGGCCGTTACATCCGTGCGTTGGCTGATTGTGGTGCAACCGCCAACTACTTCTCACCGCACGGCATTCGTAAGGCACGCTTGGGGATGAAGCAAGTGACTTTGCAGAATCCTTGTCGGACCCAAGTGGGCAACCAAGAGGTTGTCACTTCCACGCATGCAGTCAAAGGTGTGCGCACTACCTTTGACGCTGATCGCACAATCACGTATGAATTGAACTTCTATGTCCTTGATCAGTGCCCCTTCGACGCGGTTATTGGCTTGGGCTGGTTGCAGGCCCAATGTGAAAGAACCACATGGAAGGACTCACAATTCATGGTCAAAGATGCCATGGGAATCGAGCGACCAGTCCTCTTGGATGAGCCGCGCGAGTCCCAAGTAACCTTTCTCAATGCAATGCAATTCTGCAAAAAGTGGTGCAGGCGCAAAACTGATGAGCAAATGTATATAGCCTTTGTTAGGCCTGCTCATGTGCCTTCTATTTTTGCTGTACATAATGATTCTACCTTGCATGTTGTTTCCACCTCGGAAGCTACTTCTACCTCTACTAAATCCATCTCTAGTCCAAGTGATTCTGCTGCAAAATCTGTTGTCTTGGCTGCACCTATGCAATCTGGTATGCTGGCTCCTGAGAGTGATGATCCCCCTCCGAAAATCCCACCAGAAATCCGCAACCTTCTCAACCGGTTCCCTGAGGTCTTGGCCGAACCGCATGGAGTTCCCGTGCGACCGGTCCGACACAAAATCGAGTTGATTGAAGGTAGCACCCCTCCAAAAGGTTGTGTCTATCGAATGGGCTCAGGCGAATTGGAGGAGTTGCGATGACAAATTGATGAGATGATTGGGAAGGGATGGATCAAACCCAGTGAGTCTGAATTTGGTGCACCAGTGTTGTTTGTTCCTAAGAAGGGAGGCAAACTGCAGATGTGTATTGACTACCGCGGATTGAATAGAATCACAAGAAAGAATGCATACCCTTTGCCACGTATCGATGATCTGCTTGATGCTGCAGGTGGTTGCAAAGTCTTCAGCAAGATCGATCTCAAGTCTGGCTACCACCAGATTGAGGTCGAACCTGCAGACCAGCACAAAACTGCATTCAAAACTCGCGATGGGCTGTACGAGTTTACAGTTATGCCCTTCGGTCTCACGAATGCACCAGCCACCTTTCAAAGTCTCACATCACTACACACATGAACTTGACAATGAGAAGCTAGCACTAGTGAAAGGCACATACACATAGAGGAGAGATCAACTAAGTTTGAACCGGAACATCACAACACACATGAGCTTGACAATGAGAAGCTAGAACTAGTGAAAGGCACATGCACATAGAGGAGAGATCAACTAAGTAGGAACAAGAACATCACAACACACATGAACTTGACAATGAGGAGATAGAATAAGTGAAAGGCACTTGCACATGGAGGAGAGATCGACTAAGTATGAACCGGAACATCACAACACACGTGAACTTGACAATAAGAAGCTAGAACTAGTGAAAGGAACATGCACATAGAGGAGAGATCAACTCAGTATGAACCGGAACATCACAACTCACATGAACTTGACGATGAGAAGCTAGAATTAGTGAAAGGCACATGCACATAGAGGAGAGATCAACTGAGTACAAACCGGAACATCACAACAGTCATGAACTTGACAATAAGAAACTAGAACTAGTGAAAAGCACATGCACATAGAGGAGAGATCAACTAAGTATGAACCGGAACATCACAACACACATGAACTTCACAATGAGAAGCTAGAACTAGTGAAAGGCACATGCACATGGAGGAGAGATCAACTAAGTATGAACCGGAACATCACAACACACATGAACTTGACAATGAGAAGCTAAAACTAGTGAAAGACACTTGCACATGGAGGAGAGATCAACTAAGTATGAACCGGAACATCACAACACACATGAACTTGACAATGAGAAGCTAAAACTAGTGAAAGGCACATGCACATGGAGGAGAGATCAACCGGAACATCACAACACACATGAACTTGACAATGAGAAGCTAGAACTAGTGACACGCATATGCACATGGACGAAAGATCAACTAAGTATGAGTCGGAACATCACAACACACATGAACTTGACAATGAGAAGATTGAACTAGTACAAGGCACATGCACATAGACGAGAGATCAATTAAGTATGAACCGGAACACTTCATGTGAGAGTTGAGCCATGTATGTGAGTGAGACTTGCTCAAGCACATGCTCATGGCTCATGCATGCAACCAAGTTTGAAATAGACTACCATCATGTGAGAGTTGAGCCATGTATGTGAGTGAGACTTGCTCAAACACATGCCCATGGCTCATGCATGCAACCAAGTTTGAAATGGAATGCCATCATCTACTATGTGAGTGAAAAGCACAAGCTAGACTAGTCCCAAAACACAAGTCTTGAGTACAAAATCACTTATGGAAGAATCGGATTATTTCCTACTAGCATATGGGTGAGAATCAAGACTTACAGTAGACCAAATCACAAGTGTTCAGCATGAGATCATCCATAGAAGAATCGGAGCATCACCTACAAGCATAGGAGTGAAAAGCAAGAGTTGAAGTAGCTCAAATCACAAGGATTGATCATGCGATCATCCATAGAAGAATCGAAGCATCTCCTACTACCATATGAGTGGAAAGTAAGAGTTACACTAGACTATATCACAAGATTTGAGCAAGAGATCAACCATGGAGGTATCGGAGCATCGTCTACTAGCATATGAGTGAAATGCAAGATCTACACTAGACCAAATCACAAGTATTGAGTATGAGATCATCCATGAAAGTATCAGAGCATCTTCTTCTAGCATGTGAGTGAAAGGCAAGAGTTACACTAGGCCAAATGACAAGTATTGAGCATGAGATCATCCATGAAAGAATCGGAGCATCACCTACTTGTGTGTGAGTGAAATGCAAGAGTTACACTAGGCTATATCACAAGATTTGAGCAAAAGATCATCCATGGAAGAATCGGAGGATTTCCTACTAGCATGTGAGTGAAAAGCAAGATCTACACTAGGCCAAATTACAAGTATTGAGCATGAGATTATCCATGAAAGAATCGGAGCATCACCTACTAGTATAGAAGTGAAAAGCAAGATCTACAGTAGGCCAAATCACAAGTATTGAGCATAAGATCGTCCATGAGAGAATCGGAGCATCACCTACTAGTGTGTGAGTGAAATGCAAGAGTTACACTAGGTTATATCACAAGATTTGAGCAAGAGATCATCCATGGAAGAATCAGAGGATCTCCTACTAGCATGTGAGTGAAAAGCAAGATTCTACACTAGGTCAAATCACAAGTATTCAGCATGAGATCATCCATGAGAGAATCGGAGCATCACCTACTAGTGTGTGAGTGAAATGCAAGAGTTACACTAGGTTATATCACAAGATTTTAACAAGAGATCATCCATGAAAGAATCAGAGCATCACCTACTAGTATAGGAGTGAAAAGCAAGATTTACACTAGGCCAAATCACAAGTATTGAACATGAGATCATTCATAGAAGAATCGGAACATCTCCTACTTGCATGTGAGTGAAATGCAAGAGTTGAAGTAGCCTAAATTACAAGAATTGAACATGAGATCATCCATAGAAGAATCAAATGCAAGAGTTACACTAGGCTATATCACAAGATTTGAGCAAGAGATCATCCATGGAAGAATCGGAGCATCACCTACTAGTATTGGAGTGAAAAGCAAAATCTACACAAGGCCTCACAAGTATTGAACATGAGATCATTCATAGAAAAATCGAAACATCTCCTACTAGTGTGTGAGTGAAATGCTAGAGTTGAAGTAGCCCAAATCACCAGAATTGAATATGAGATCATCCATAAAAGAATCGAAACATCTCCTACTAGTGTGTGAGTGAAATGCAAGAGTTACATTAGGCTATATCACAAGATTTGCGCATAGATCATCCATGGAAGAATCAGAGGATCTCCTACTAGCATGTGAGTGAAAAGCAAGATCTACACTAGGCCAAATCACAAGTATTAAGCATGAGATAATCCATGAAAGAATCAGAGCATCACCTATTAATGTGTGAGTGAAATGCAAGAATTGAAGTAGCCCAAATCACAAGAATTGAACATGAGATCAACCATAGAAGAATCGGAACATCTCCTACTAGTGTGTG